CAATACACACACAGCACTGCCAACCAGGATGCTCACCTGAGCCTTTGATGTCCAGAGGGTCAAAGCCCCCACTATAAATCAGCAAAAGACACTCATAACATGCTGGGCGTTCCGGGGGCTAGAGCCCACCTTTCAGTAGCCAAAAGACCTAAGTTAAATTTTCATTACACAAAAACCTATCATTTTATCCCTGTCAAGTTGACAAAGTGTAGCAGATGCCATCAGTGCTGGGACGCGTCCCTACACATTTCAGCATTCCCCAGGAGGCTTCTAAGGGCAATATTTGCAACTCCATGCCTGACAGCTTTAAAAAACAAAGAGAAAACAAAACAAAACTGCTGAAGGCCTCCTGGCCTTTCCCTTAAGTAGCTCTCACTTAATGACTCTTGGAGTTGTCATGGAAGACCTTAGCCCTTTAGGTGGGATAATGTTGGGGCATTCTGCACCATTTCCCAGAAGTTCCAGTTGCCCACTGTGATAGGTGGCTTAGTAGTGCACCCTTTATTGGCTGACTTTGCTTCTGGTTACCACTTACCCATTTCCGTCCTTATTTCTGTATTACTCAGATAAACTTCCTGCACTCGAATCCTTGTCTCAGGGTCGGCTTCTGGAGGATAACAAACTAAGGCATCAAATTTAACATGAAATTCGGAGGTGGCGTGTGGAAATAGATGTTCTCCTCTGCTCCACTTTGTGGAGTGTAAATTGGTTCAACCTTTTTTGGTGGCTAATTTGGAAGTATTTATCAAGTAGCTTTAAAATATGCATAGTCTTCAACTTAGTAATTCTTCTGAGAGTGTTTCCTGAGAAATAGCTAGGGATGTGTACTAGGCTTTCTTTTCTGTTTCTAAACAATAAACTACTTTGAAAACGAGGAAGGGGACACTAAATAACTTCGTAGGTGGAGTTTTATGTCTCATGTATTAAAGGTAGGATGCAACAAATAATTGACTACAGTTTTCCTTTCATAAGCAACTATTAACCTTTAAAAAACTTTCCTCAGATATAGATTAACTTTTATTGAATATAGCTGTTAATAAGAAATTTTAAAATTGTTTGCATACTGTATTAGCCCGCTTGGGCTGCCATAAAAAAATACCATAGCCAAGGTGTTCTAAACAACAGAAATAGAAATTTATTTTTTCACAGTTTTGGAGGCTGAGGGATTCAAGATCAAGGTTCAGTTCAGTCCCTAGTGAGGGCTCCTTCCTGCCTAGCAGATGTGGGCTCACTAGGCAGGGGTGACAGTAAGCCTGCTGGTGTCTCCTCTTCCAAGGACACTAATCCTATTGTGTTGGGGTCCACCTTCGTGATCCCCATCAGTTACATCCTTACACCAAATACAGCCACACTGGAGGTGAGGAGTGCAACGTATGAACTTTGGGAGGACACAGTTCAGTCCATAGCACACACTAATAAATAGCTCAGTTATTTAGTAAGTTTTAGAACGTTCTTATTTGCTCTTTTGCTCTTTTTCAGCTATCTGGGTCCTATCTGTTGATGAATATCTCTAGTAGGAAAAGCCTGTCTCCCATCACTTTCTGGGTCCATCACCATAGGGGTATTTGATGCCGTTGTCCAAAAGACTTGGCTTTACTGCTTACCAGCAAAATGTCAGCTGGGTTGGCTCCTTCTGAGGGCTGTGAGGGAGAGTCTCTCCCTTAGCTTTGGGTAGCTTGCTGGCAATCTTTGGTGTTCTGTAACTTGTGGCAGCGTGACTCTAGTATTCACATGGCATTCTCCTTCTATGTATGCCTGTATCCAAATTTCCCCTTCTTTTTTTTTTTTTTTTTTTGGGAGGAAGGCAGGAAGGGAGGGAAGGAGGACGGTAGGGAGGAAGGAAGGGATGAAGGAAGGAAGGAAGGGAGGAAGGGGGAAGGGAGGGAGGGAGGGAGGGAAGGAAGGGAGGGAAGGGAAGGAAGGGAAGGAAGGGAAGGAAGGAAATCAAGCAATGAGAGAGACATTGCCGACCTGGATCTAGAGGTTTACAAGTTGATTTCTTTTTTTTGAGAGAAGGAAAGAAAAAAAAAAAAAAAATAAAGGAGAGGAAGAAAGAGGAAGAGAAAGAGGGTGAGTAAATGGAAATATTGCTTTATTTTGAAAAGAATTGGGTATTAATAATGGCCAATCAATGTTTCATTTAAACTTATGGGTAGGTGTGATGTGGTATTGACAAGAATGTATATTTTGTGTATTTGAAGTGGAGAGCTCTATAAATATTTATTAAGTTTACTTGTTCCAGATCTGAGTTCGAGTCCTTGATATCCTTATTAATTTTCTGTCTCATTGAATCTAAGTCTCTATGTATCTGGGTGTTAGGATCGTTAGCTCTTCTTGTTGCATTGATCCTTTTACCACTATATCTTTGTTGCTTTAAAATCTATTTTATTCAATATGAGAATTGCAACTCCTGCTTTTTATTTATTTATTATTTATTTTTGCTCTCCATTTGGTTGGTAAATCTTTCTCCATCCCTTTGTTTTGAGTCTTTGTGTATCCTTGCATGTGAAACAGGTCTGGATGTAACATGCCATTGGGTTTTGGCTGTGTCTTTTGATTGGGGGATTTAGTTGATTTAAATTTAGGGTTATTGCCATTTGATGTTGACTGGCTGTTTTATCCATTCTTTGGTGTAAATTCTTCTTTATGTTGGTGCTGTTTACTTTTTGGTGTATTTTTAGAAAGGCTAATACTGGTTGTTTCTTTCTGTGTGTAATGCTTCTTTCAGAAGCTCTTGTAAAGCAGGCCTGGTGGTAATAAAATCTCTGAGTTCTTGCTTGTTCATAAAAGATTTTATTTTTCCTTCAGTTGTGAAGCTTAGTTTGGCTGGATATGAAATTCTGGGCTGAAGGTTCTGTTCTTTGAGGATGTTGAATGTTGGCCCCCACTCTCTTCTGGCTTGTAGAGTTTCTGCTGAGAGATCTGCTGTAAGTCTGATTGGCTTGCCTTTGTGGATAACCTGACCTTTCTCTCTGGCTGCCCTTGGTATTTTCTCCTTCGTTTCAACCCTGGTGAATCTAACGATTATGTGCCTTGGGGTTGCTCTTCTTGAGGAATATCTTTGTGGTGTTCTCTGTATTACCTGGGGTTGAATGTTGACCTGCTTTTCTAGTTTAGGAAAATTTTCCTGAATAATACCCTGAAGGGCATTTTCCAGCTTGGATTCATTCTCTCTGTCGCATTCAGGTACACCTATCAAACGTAAATTTGGTCTTTTCACATAGTCCCACATATCTTGGAGACTTTGCTCATTCCTTTTTATCCTTTTTTCTCTAATCTTTCTTCACGTTTTATTTCATTAAGTTGGACTTTGACCTCTGATATCCTTTCTTCTGCTTGAACAATTTGAGTGTTTAAACCTGTGCATACTTCTCGGAGTTCCTGTATTGTATTCTTCAGTTCCATTAATTCACTCATACTCCTCTTTAAGTTGTCTATTCCCAATAGGATTTCATCAGACCTTTTTTCAAAGTTCCTAGTTTCTTTACGTTGGGCTACAACATGTTCTTTTAACTCACCGAAGTTTGTTATTATCCATTCCTTGAAGAGTGATTCTGTCATCAGGATGCGCTCGTTCTCCATCAAGCCTTGTTCCATTGTTGATGTGGAACTGTGATCATCTTTAGAGGGAGAGGTGTTCTGATTTTGAGTATTCTCAGCTTTTTTATGCTGGTTTCTTCCCGGCATTGTAAATTTATCCTCCTGTGGTCTTTGAAATTACCAACTTTCAGATTAGGTCTCTCCAGTGGACGTCCAGGTTGTTAGTTCCCAGGGCAGAGTAGGCGTTATAACTGATGGTGCTTTTCTTCCCAGGATTCTCCTGTCGGGCTTCCTTCTTGTGTCCCTAGTAGGCGACTCTGCCTTCCCGGGGCTCCAAACCTTGGTCAGAAGGGGAACCGGTCTCGTTTACTCTGCGCCGAGAGCTGCTGCACCAGGGTGCCGTCACAGCCGCTGCGCTGGGCTCTGGTGTCGTGCTGGGGGCCTGTGTGGGTCCTCCGAACCTGTTTACTCTGCTCCGAGAGCTGGCACGCCAAGGTGCCGGCGGAACCACTGCGCCGGCCACGAGGGTCGCGCTGGCCACCCGTGTGTTTCCTCCACTGGGGGATCTTCTGCTCCGTGAGCGACCAGAATTTGTCTGAAAGTGTGGCGTCCTCTAGTTCTCCGTGCCTTCCCTGAGAGCTGCAATCCCGGGATGTTAGCTATCAGCCATCTTGGATCATTCCCAAATTTCCCCTTCTTACAATGACACCAGTCATACTGAAGTAGGGCTATTTTACTCAGATATGATCTCATCTTAACTGACTATGTCTGCAACAATCCTATTTCCAAATAGGCCATATTCAGAGGTACTGGGGAGATAGGACTTCAATATATGATTTTTGGGGGGACAAAATTCAACCTGTAACAACTTGGAAGACTTTGTTGTGAATCAAAAGGTGAATCTGAGTCAGTTTATTTTATTTTTTTTTTTGAGATGAAGTCTCACTTTGTTTCCCAGGCTGAGGTGCAGAGGCATGATCATAGCTCACTGCAGCCTTGAGTTTCCCAGGGTCAGGTGATCCTCCCACCTCAGCCTCCCTAGTAGCTGGGCCTACAGGTGCATGCCAGCATATCCAGCTATTATTTTTTTTTGTATTTTTTGTAGAGATGGGGTTTTGACATGTTGCCCAGGTTGGTCTGGAACTCCTGGACTCAAGTGTTCCATCCACCTTGACCTCCAAAAGTGTGGGATTATAGGCTTGAACCACCTCACCTGGCCAAGAGTCAATTTCTTAAGAGATGTTTTCGTACTTATTTATTTCTTTTCATTCTTCTCAGCAAACTGACACAAGAACAGAAAATCAAACCGCATGTTTTCACTCATAAGTGAGTGTTGAACAATGAGAACACATGGACACGGAGGGGAATGTCACACCACACCGGGGCTTGTTGGGGCAGGGGGTAAGGGCATTAGGGGAGTGATAGCAGGGAGTCGGGGGGTTTGGGGAGGGCTAACATTAGGAGAAATACCTAATATAGATCAGGGGGATGGATGCAGCAAACCACCATGGCATGTGTACACCTATGTAACAAACCTGCACATTCTGCACATGTACCCCAGAACTTAGAGTATAATAAAAATAAATTAAAAAAAAAGTCCTACCCACATTTAAACAAAAATGTGAAGCAAGACACATCACTTCCTAGTATTATGCTATAAACAGGTGATAAAGGTTGAGGGGTTATTCTCCAGTGAGGAATCCAGTCCAAACCCACAGACCAGCTCATAACCAACCAGCTGAGTCCAAAACAACTAGATCTTTTTTGACAATTGCCATCCAAACCAGAGTGCAATGAAATGAGTTGTGTACCTCCCCTCTTCAAATTCATATGTTGAATTCTTGTGTCAGTTTGCTGAGAATGACGGTTTCTAGCTTCATCCATGTCCCTGCAAAGGACATGAACTCATCCTTTTTTATGGCTGCATGGTATTCTACAGTGTATATGTGCCACATTTTCTTTATCCAGTCTATCTTTGATGGGCATTTGGGTTGGTTCCCAGTCTTTGCTATTGTGAACAGTGCTACAATAAACATATGTGTGCATGTGTCTTTATAACTGAATGTTTTATTTTCCTTTGGGTATATACTCAGTAATGAGATTGCTGGGTCAAATGGTATTTCTATTTCCAGATCCTTGAGGAATCGCCACACTGTCTTCCACAATGTTTGAACTAATTTATACTCCCACCAACAGTGTAAAGTGTTCCTATTTCTCCACATCCTCTCCAGCATCTGTTGTCTCCTGATTTTTTTAATGATTGCCATTCTAACTGGTGTGAGATGGTATCTCAATGTGGTTTTGATTTGCATTTCTCTAATGACTGGTGGTGATGAGTTTTTTTCCATATATTTGTTGGCTGCATAAATATCTTCTTTTGAAAAGTGTCTGCACATATCCTTTACCCACTTTTGAATGGCGTTGTTTTTTCTTGTAAATTTGTTTAAGTTCTTCATAGATTCTAGTTATTAGCCCTGTATCAGATGGGTATGTTGCAAAAATGTTTTCCCATTCTGTTGGTTGCCGGTTCACTCTAATAATAGTTTCTTTTGCTGTGCAGAAGCTGTGGACTTTAATTAGATCCCATTTGTCAATTTTGGCTTTTGTTGCCAATGCTTTTGGTGTTTTAGTCATGAAGTCCTTGCCTATGCCTATGTCCTGAATGGCATTGCCTAGGTTTTCTTCTAGGATTTTTATGATGTTAGGTCTTATGTTTAAATCTTTAATCCTGCTTCACATTGTTATGTGCCAAGTGCTAATTGTGGAGGACCTGTTCTCCCTTCACTCTCTTAGGCCTTAGTCATTAGGTATTCGTTGTCAATCCTTATGGCTTCCTTCACCCAGTTCTTGTAGGTCCTCTCAGGGCATTGTTACACTCTGCTGATTTCCCTTTGCTGCTGTCATCAAATACATATTCTGGACAAGGGGGCTCCATAATAAGCTTCAACAGCAGCCCTGTATTCATGATACATCATTGGTCACAAGTGAGGCTGGAGGAGAAGTCATCTGCTGAGGAAGTAAGCACACGACCTGTCATCAAGGAGTAAGCATTTGGGCAAGATTGAAATCCAACTCTAAACTTCATCACACATCACCATCAAGTTGCATTCCTGAACATGCACTGTATTCCATTCCTCCTGAGACCTTGGAATGTTATCCGCGAAGGACAGCAGGCAAGGTAGTACATGTGAGAACAATTGTTGACCATGAAATACTTTATTCAGAAAGGAGTAGTAATGGCAAAAAGAATCTTTTTAGCAGCCACGCTTTCCCTTAGGGGAGAAAGCTCAGCAGTTGGTTTGCTCAGATGGTTCACTGAAGGCAGATGAATTGGCACTTTGCAGCTGAGGGCCAATGCAGGCTCACAGAAGTGGCTTCTCTCTGCAGGCTGATTTGGGGCTCCCAACAGGGCCCAAAACCCAGCAATCAGCACCTGTCTCTTAATTCTGGGCAACGAACAAATCCCATCCCAGTGTGCTGAGAGCGCCCTCTAGTGCCCAGCAACTTCCTCAACAATGGAGTGTAAAGACCTTTAAGGAACTTCACCAGAAGGAACTTGAATTTCAAGCCTAACCTGAAGCTTATTATTTAAGGAAACAGACATATTTTATCAAAGAAATTGTTGTATTAGAAAACATTTAGACTGTAAAAGCATTCTCCAAAGGAAACCAAAGATTTAACTACAGTGATTCATCTACTTTAAGTCCACAACAACAAAATATTAATTTAACAACACAAACAGCATGCTCTTTAGCTCTTTGAAGGATGGCAATGAGGAAAACTGAAAAATAATGATCTAGCAATTACTGGCTGAACCACATTCTAAGAAATGTTAAGATAACAGGTGAACATTCGAAATTCAAATTTACCACTTTGGAGGCTGCTTATTTGCATGACAGATGGATTATTTGTTTCACAGAAAGGCTTTCTGTCAGCGTGGATTTGACTGTCAATAACCCTAACCCCAGCAGAGCTTTAATTAGAATGCAAGGGGTTTGTGGGATCTGTGGGCACTGGGGGAAGAGTGTCTTGAGATTTTTCTAGGAGTTAAGTACAGGGCCTTTGAGTTACATCTGATATATATGGCACAAATTACATAAACGTTGGGATTGCCTGTCACCTAGGACAAGTATTTGTACACACAGAGTATGACATTAATTCCTGCAGTGAACAACTCTATAGGCCCTTCATCCTCATGTGTCCATTTCAACGAAGCCCTATTTGCTGTGCACACACTTTTTTCAAAGACTCTATTAGTCAATGTGAATATCAAGTTATAAGCAAGAAAAAAGCAACAAAATATAAAGAAATCCCCATTACATCCTTTTTCCCTATAATACTTTTCCTTGATTTTGCTATAAGCATTTCTCTGGCATTCCCACTCCTGACACACATGATTATTAAATGTTTGTTGTCTCAACTAACTATGCCAACAGGTTCATAAAATCACTTGATATGGAGAAAGTGGAAGACTCTGTGAAACTTATTTACATTGAACATGCAAGCATAAGAAAAGATTGTTGAGCAACAGGAATGAGCTAAGAAAGCAGTTGTGAATTCTGTGTATGTAAGATGGAACAAGATATTTGTGTGTTAAGTGCCTGGCCGAATAAATAAAGAAGATTCAAATCAGGTGCAGCTGTTCTTTCTCAGTGCTGTGTGGGTATTAGATTCCCTGCAACCATCTGTGGCCTCAGACCCCACGTTCCTTTGCGTAGGGAGCTCGCAGCCCCTTTTTAGCTGAATGCAGCTGGGAGCAGGAAGGGTGGAGCAGGCTGGGGTTTGACTCAGCAGCTGTGGGCGAGACCCTGCACACTCTATCTTGAGGACTGTGATAAAGGTTAAAAATAAAAGATAGCACTTGAGTGAGCATCATAAGGAGTAGCTATCTAATTCTAGGGCTTATTTTTACAAAGCAGCAGCTGACAGTGTCAGCCCAGCTCATCCCAAAAGTTCTGAGACAGGAAGCTCCTACATTTGCTATGACCAATGTCACTTTAAGAGGTCTTGGCAGTTACATTCTCACTTAAGTTTTCCTTCTGCAACAATGATATATACGGAGGATTAGAAGATACTTCAAAAGGTTACCTTTTATTCATACCCACTTAAAAACTAAACCCACTAAATCAACTTCCTGTCTCCTTTCTCAAACATGTATAGAGTGCCACCACGTGTCAGGCACAGTGCTGGGTGCTGCCATTCACAGGTGCAGACCCCACAGGGTCTTTTCCCTCAGAGCTGGTGGAGGTTGTAGGGTAGCCTGTGCTCAGTCCTGGATCTGTCTCTTGAGGACCAGTTCTTCTTTGGCCATGGAGAATGAGCAGAGCAGCATCTAACAATGGACAGGGTGCCCTCTCAGCTTCTCTGTCTTCACGAGTGACTGCCACACATTTTATTTTATTTATTTATTTATTTATTTATTTTTGTCTTTAGAGTAGAATAATTTATAATCCTTTGGGTGTATACCCAGTAATGAGGTTGCTGGGTCAAATGGTATTTCTGGTTCCAAATTCTTTTTTTTTTTTTTTTTTTTGTGATTAAAATCTTTTCTTCTTTTTTTTTTCTTTTTCTATTTCTTATTTATTATTTTTTTTAAAGAGGGAAAAAGAGAAAAAGAAGGGGAAAAAAAGAAAAAGAGGGAAAAAGGAATATTACTTCATTCATAAAATGGGTTTCAATAATGGCTGATCAATATTTTGAGTGTTTAAAGTGGTTAATGCATATTTTATGTGTTTAAAATGGAGACCTCTATTGTGTTTATTTGTTCTGGCTCTGAGTTCAAGTCCTGGATATTGTTATCAATTTGTTGTCTCGTTGAATCTAAATCTCATTATGCCACACATTTTAAACTAGAACTCTTTTGACATATTTAGCACCTAACAGATGGTGCAAGAATTCTGGGCACCTTTTCTTTTCTGTTTGGGTGGGGAGGACAGGCCTGTGACAAATGCGAGCATATTTGGGGAGGTGGGGAAATATAGGAAAGAGGGAGGCCAGTCTCTTTTCCCTATTTTGGAAAAATAAGCATTTTTCATAGAAACCCGATATTTTCATGAGACTCTTTTTAAAAAAGAAATGCTTTAACATGAAAAAAGTTATAGATACATTAAAGTAGATATAGTAGTGTGATAAATCCCATGTACATTTTGTTCAGCTCTAATGATTTGCGGCATGTGGCCTGATTTTGTTTTACAAACATCCCCTCCCCTGTATTGTTTTGAAGCAAACTTGATATTATTATTATTATTATTATTTTCTTGAGATAGAGTTTTGCTCTGTCACCCAGACTGGAGTGCAGTGGCACAATCTCAGCTCACTGCAACCTTTGCCTCCTGCGTTCAAGCTATTTTCCTGCCTCAGCCTCCTGAGTAGCTGGCATTACAGGTGTGCGCCACCATACCCAGCTAAGTTTTGTATTTTTCATAGATATGAGGTTTCACCATGTTGGCCAGGCTAGTCTCAAACTCCTGACCTCATGATCTGCCCACCTCAGCCTCCCAAAGTGCTGGGATTATAGGCATGAGCCACCGTGCCTTGCTGTTATGTTATTTCATCTGTAAATATTTCAATATGTAGTTTTATAGATAATGATTCCTTTTTAAAAAGTAACCACTAAAGAAAAAAATTCACGAGTTCATATGTTAAAACTTAATCACCCATGTGCTAGTATTAAGATGACAGGTGTTTAGAAGGTGGTTAAATCCTGAGGGCAGAGCCATCCCGAAAGGAATTAGAGTCCTTATAAAAGAGTTTGAGGGAGTAGGTTTGTTCTCTTCTGCTCTTCTGCCAGGAGGACACAGCTTTCATCCCCCTTTCTGCCCTTCTGTCCCTCCCACCATGTCAGGACACAGTGGATTCAAGCAGGGTCTTGAAGGCTGTGTTCTAATTAAAGAGGTGGAAAAGAAGGGGAATGAAATTATACACAACGTTGAAGATCAGCTTCTACTCTTCATGTTATCGTATATAATTTTGAAAAAAATCCTTTAATCCCTTTGGAAATCCATTTTCTTATATGTAAGATGGGAATGATGAAATCTGTGTTGGAGGGCGCTTATAAGGATTAATGGGAAAGCCCCAAGTATTGGTGAGAATGAATTTCTTTGCAAGTGATGTTAATAACTTAATTAAGATATAACATGTAAGGAGGCTGAGGCAGAAGAATCACTTGAACCCAGGAGATGGAGGTTTCGGTGAGCTGAGATCGAATCACTGCCCTCCAGCCTAGGTGACAGGGCGAAACTCCGTTTCAAAAAAGAAAAAAAAGATATAACATATAACATCTCTTCAGTGGTTAGTATATGAAGCTGACAAACCTCCTTTCTCCACAACATCAACTCTCATCTGGTGATGCCCTCTGTCTTGCTCCTGTTGGTTGAAGATGGGAGAAGTCTTGCATTTGTACATCCTTGTGCAGGGGACCACAGATGGGTGTTCTGTCATTCTGGTAACTATAAATTGCCCAGTTGACTGGCTGACTTTCAAGGGAGAAGGGAACTGAACTGTCTCCCCGTCCTCTGCACGCACTTTGTTGTTTTAAGTCTGCACCTTTACTTGCTGCTGCCTCCACTGCTTGGAATGTGCCATCTTCTCAGCCTCAGCTGGTCAGCAGTCACTGGGTCAGTAAGAGTCAGCTGAGGTTTTGCTCTGTGAACTTTCCCTGACCTCATTTTGACCTCCTAGGCTGGCTGAGGTTCCCCTTTTCTGTGCTCCCATGCTGTACTGGGTATTGCGCTCTTCAGTGCACAATTATCACACCATACTACAAAGACCTGCCTCTCCCTGGGCTCACCGGGCCTTCAAGACGGGCACATAGCACTCACTCATGACATGGTTGTTGAATGAATGAATGGCCTTTCTCCATTCCCTCACAGTCCTAATTTCACCCCCCTCTGGGCACCATCATTCCTTCTCATTGTGCATTGTTTATGGCTTGTTAGTTATTAATACAAAGCCATTTCCTGGTCTGGCCATTAGTAATGTCTCTAGGTGTTAATAATAACACCGGCTCACATCTACTGAGCACTTACTATTTGGCTGCCCTGTTCTAAGCACTTTGCATGTATAAACTCCTTTGAATGTTCCTTCTTTGCCTTTATTCCTGTTAGGGACTTGTTGCATTGAACTTAGCACAGAAAGTCAACACCAGAACAAAAGTATGCCAAATTGCAGGGTTTATTGCCGGCGACCACGGAGGACTCACTCCAACCCGTGGCCCCGAATGAAAAGAAACAAGACCTTTTTATACCCGCAAAACCACCTTGGGAGTGGGGGTGGAGATGGGAATGAAAGCTGTCAATCACCTCCCAGGCTAAGACGAGGGTGAGGGGCTTCAGACATTCCGAGGGCCAGTGGATTCAAATCACCTTCTGGGTGGAGAGGAGGGTGAGGGGGTTCCGGACATTTCGAGTACCAGGGGACTATTTGACATTCTGATTGTTATTTAAGGGTTCACAGATGCTAAGATTAGCATTCATTTACACATCGTCTGGGTAGGGTGGGATCCATAGATTTTCAGTTGCTTGGCGCCAGGATGGAATGATCTGGGGGTGCTTACTCTGGGAAACAAAGGCCAGCAATTCTGGCAGATAAGAGAAGATGTGCAGCTTTACCTCTCTTTGCATCCTGCAAATGATCTAGCAATTTACAGAAATCAAGATTAGCAGTCCTTGAGGAGAATGGAAACATTTTTGTCTTTTATAAGATGGCAGTATACAGGTTCCAACTTAAGTTAGCTATATCACAGACTAACCTTAACATTGTGAGGGGTAGTGTTCTGGTAGAGCCGTAGAACTGGAACGTGGCTTTATTGTCCTAAGATGCAGGACAGTAAGTCCTGCTGTGGAATACAAGTTGACTACGTCTGTCATCATCAAATACTGGAAGATATGGCTGGGGAAAAACCAGAAAGTACTCGACATTTGATCTCCTCTTAGTGCAATGACATGATAGCTTTATTTTGTTTTGTTTTTTTTCTTTATGTGTAGTTTTAAATTACTGTACTATGTTTCGGGTACTCAGGCCAGGAGAACAAATTGGGATGAACGATTGTATTTACATTTCAGTTTACTAGAGGTAGTCTTGAAAGAGTTATAAAAATGTGAATATCAGTGTGGAAAAAAATACGGGAGGTTTTCAATCGTTTTTTTTCAAAAATGATAAATTGGCAAGGAAGACAGATTTGGGAAGGTCAGTCATGGGAATTCGTCTTTCAGTGAATCCTTCTTGGCTGGGAAGAAAAGCTTTTCTTCTGTTTAGTTGGGAACAGTGGCAAGGATTATTTTACCTGAGGATGGCAGATTATTTTACCAGCAGCTGGCAGATGAGAAGAATTCCCTGGACAACAAGGAGGGGCAGGATGGAATGGAAGGAACCTGCATAACTTCAGAAGGTCTGGGGTTCAGACAATGCTGCTTACCAGCTCTTAGCCTTCATTAAATTGCTTATCATTCCTGGAGGTGCAGTTTCCTTATCCATAAAATGGGGTCGCGTTGCCAAATTTAGCAAATAAAATTCTAGGCTGCCCAATATTTCAGAAAAATAATTTTTTAAGTATAAATATGTTCCATAAAATATTTATGTCCCATGCAATAAATATGTCACTAATGGTGCATGGGACATATACTAAAACATTATTTGTTGTTTATCTGAAATTCAGATTTAACGGTGTGTCCTATATTTTATCTGGCAACCCTAAATGGGGCAGGGGCAGTGGTGGTGGCATGAGTAATTCTCTTGTAGAGGTGGTGCGAGGGTAAAATGATACCACTGTTAGGTTTTATCACAGCGTGTAGTCTGCGTGTAGTCAACACATAAGTAGTGGCTGTAACATAACTGGTGTATAGTCAAAAACAAATGGATATTATTAGTATAATAGTTATTATTAATAAAGGTCTTTATTAATAAAGGCAACCAGCCATACAGGGAGCCTTTGGGGAAAAGTTTCTGACTCTAAACTAAGGGAAGGTAATATGATCAACATCTGGGAATATTTAGACTTAGTAATAATTCGGGGAAGAGGGAGACAGCATATTTAACTTTACCTTTTTTTTTGAGTGGGAGTCTCACTCTGTACGCAGGCTGGAGTGCAGTGGCCCGAACTCAGCTCACAGTAGCCTCCACCTCTTGGGTTAAGCAGTTCTCTGCCTTAGCCTCCTGAGTAGCTGGGATTACAGGAGTGTGCCACCACACCCAGCTCATTTTTGTATTTTTAGTAGAGAGGGTGGTTCGCCATCTTGGTCAGGCTGGTCTTGAGCTCCTGACCTCGTATCCACCTGACTTGGCCTCCCAAAGTGCTGGGATTACAGGCATGAGCCATCCCGCCCAGCCTTAACTTTATCTTAAAGAAACATAAAGCCGGATGATAGTCTAATGGCAAGGAAACAAGGCCTTTACTGTCACCTGGTGGCCATATGCTTTAACTGCAATGTGCCTAAGTGCGGCTGTTGAGGAAAGCATTGGAAAATCTACTAAATCCAGAAGGCACCAAGGCTGTGTCATGACAGAAATAGTAGTGAACTACTGTGTCCTTCCCCGCAGTTCCCTCTCTCTCACAGCTTGAGAATCAGCAGTTGGCTGCGAGAGGCAGAGGAGAGAAGATGGCAAAGTCCATGCCTTCCTCTTTGGTACCGAGTTTCCAAACCTGAAGTGAAGGAGCCTGAGCGGGGAGCAGTTTTTCACTGTGTTTTTAAAGAGCCTCTTTATTTAATGGCTCAGAGTGGCTAGAAAATCCATGCTATTGCTTAGCTTTCATCTCAAGTGCAGGGACAAGGCAAATCCAGAGAGAGGAGATGAAAGGACAAAGAAAAAAGAAAAAAAATGTGCCGTTTACTGCATTTTGCTGCATGTAGTTCACTCAGTAAACATGTTTTAAATGCATAAATAAATGATGAGGTAAAAGCCGGGGGAAAGGCAGTGAGCGATACCCAGAGAGGACAGGCAAACTGCATTCCCTTTGGACCGCAGCCTCTCATCCCTCCCCTATACACAAACCAAGGTCAAAATCAGGAGGGAGTCCAGGGGAGAGTTATCAGTAGGGTTAGCTCTAGGATTCATAGTAAATCTATTTGAAAAAAATCTTAAAAAACTCTTAAGTCCATTATAGCCAGGATATAAAGCAATCCTGGCCTCCTGACCCTGACCCAGCCACTGTGGCAAGTAGGGCCACTTCCTTTCATTCTCCCCTGTGTCCTCCTGGATCTCTCCAAGCCTTCTCTTCTGCAGGGAAGGGCGGAAGCTGGTTCCATCAGTGCCTCTTCCCCAGCTTCCACTCTCCTCTCTCTTCTGTGACCTCTCAGTTTTCCTTCTCTGTATCCCAAATCATGCCCGTCTGTTGCTGTAATGGAATATTACATCATCCATCATCTGTTGCTGTAACGGAATACTACAGACTGGATAATTTATAAAGGTGAGGAATTTATTGCTTGATGTTTTGGAGGCTGGGAAGTCCAAGGACGTGGCATTGGCATTTGGTGAAGGCCTTCTTGCTGCATCCTCACATGGCAGAGGGCATCACATGGCGAGGGGGCAAGGGCAGGCATGCCTGCTCAGTTCACTCTAACTCTTCTTATAAAACCACCAGTCCCACTGTGGGGCCACACACCTATGACCTTACTTAATCCTAATGACCTTCCAAAGGCCCTACCTTCAAATATCATAAGTTTCCAGCACATGAAATTTGGGAGACATATTCAAACCACAGCAGTGCCTCACCTTAGAATACTGCTTGGCATTTGCCCAGGCTCTGACAGCCACCATGTCTGGGACATGTTAGGATCACTGTTTACATGCAAGTCTTGCCACAGCCATTACACATGTGTGGGTCAGTGTAGGGTCCTGGTGGAAGCTTGAGTCTTGGTGTCTCTCCACTGTTTGCTACTCTGGCTCTCCACCTTCAATTTCTGGCTTCTCATTTTGGACTATGATGATTTACTTGATGTTAATTTTTCTTTTAGTATGAAAGTTTTCAAGACGCCTACAAGTGGAAAATGCACTCCTCCCAGCCAAATCAAGCTTCTCCAGATTCCTTACAGCTGCATGCTGTGAAATGACTAATGAAAGAGCCTTCTGCTACTGGTGGAACTTTCATATGTGGCACTATTGTGCCGCTCAGCAGGACCTGACCCTGGTATTTACATACTGGATGTCACCCCAAAAGCCCCTGACCAGGGGGTTTCCGGGATGTAATAAGAATGCTGCTCTGGGCTTTGGAAGGTGTGCTGTATGCACGCCCATACTATAGGGCAGGGGTTAGCATTTCAGACCCCCGTTCCTCCCTCGACAAGCAAGTGCTTTTCTCCAGGGAAGATGTTCAGATTCAGTCATAGAGCCACTGGTGCCATGGGCAGCTCAGTAACAATAGCCCTGCTGTCTGCCAGCTGTGGTAGAGGTGCTGAGAATACCTAGATGAGGAAGTCAGGGGCCCTGTGTGCCTGAGGAGAGCTGGAAGCCTGCTATGGCAATGGACACAAACCCTTGGATAATTTCCATTCTTGGCTGTGTGTTCTGTAGCATAGGTGTGAAGTGGGTGTCCTGGGAGCTCAGAAGAGGGGCCCTTAACTTATGGGTGGCCAGGGAAGGCTTCCTGGAGCTCAAATAACTGAGTGGAGTCTTCAGCAGTAAGAAAATAAAAGTGCCCCCCCCCGTCCCCCACCACACTCCCAGTTAGAAAGGTAATACACCTCATTGAAATGATTTAAACTTTATGGAAATGTGTTCCTTTAAAGTTCGGAGAGTAAAGAGGAAGTAATAAAGTGCAAATTGTAGAATTTCGAATCAATCGGAGCCTGTAGTTTTCTTCCTGAAAAGGGAGTGGTGTGTGCCTGTGTGAGTGTGTGTAGGTGAATCTGTAAAGGCCGGAGTAGTAACTGAAAAGAGGGAGGTGCAGGCAGAGGTGAGATCTCATCTTTGTGCCCAGAACCGCTTTGTGATCATGTCAGGCATGGAGAGAAATAAATACTCACCTCTATGGGACTCTGGCTTTTTACAACTTGGTTTTCCAGGTTTTGGTCTTGGTTATGAATGTCTTATAACTTCAGAGTCTCATTGCTGGCCATATTTCAAGTGGTTTATCAAGATGTTTTTCCTAACAAAATTGTTCTCTCCCTAAAAAAAAATGTGTAGGTCTAGCTATAAGATTAACAATATTTAACCTGCTACAATGCCACTAAGAGTTCTCATTTATTGAAGACTTTCTTTGCACCAGCTATGTGCTAAGAGCTTTACATTTGTTACTTCGTAACATCAACCCTCACACCAACCTTATGACTATGTCCCAGATAAGGAAGCTAGGATTCCCACTATTCCCACATCCCAGATAAGGAAGCTAGGATTCCCACTATTCCCACATCCCAGATAAGGAAGCTAGGATTCCCACTATTCCCACATCCCAGATAAGGAAGCTAGGATTCCCACTATTCCCACATCCCAGATAAGGAAGCTAGGATTCCCACTATTCCCACATCCCAGATAAGGAAGCTAGGATTCCCACTATTCCCACATCCCAGATAAGGAAGCTAGGATTCCCACTATTCCCACGTCCCAGATAAGAAGCTAGGATTCCCACTATTCCCACGTCCCAGATAAGGAAGCTAGGATTCCCACTATTCCCACGTCCCAGATAAGGAAGCTAGGATTCCCACTATTCCCACATCCCAGATAAGGAAGCTAGGATTCCCACTATTCCCACGTCCCAGATAAGGAAGCTAGGATTCCCACTATTCCCACATCCCAGATAAGGAAGCTAGGATTATTACTTGCTGCAGCCACATAGCTGATAATTGGCGGGGTTGGCCCCAAACCCAGGCCTCTCTGATTCCTAGGTCTATGCTCACAGATGCACCATCCCTCTGCATTAATTCTCAAACATATTTGGCTACAGGAGCATTTTCAAAAGTGAGCACCACTTACCTCTTAATACTACTATTAGCAATCTATGGAGCACGATTTGGGAAAAGCTGCCCTAGAAAAATACTGCCCTGTCTGTAAATAGAGATAATAATGCAGTCTCTGCATTGTGATGATTAAAAGACATTTCTCAAAATGGGTGTGAGGATACTCACCTTCCACCAGGAATGTGCATGTGCTTTACAAATAACATTTGTGGTTGGGCACAGTGGCTCACACCTGTAATGACAGCACTTTGGGAGGCCGAAGTGGGTAGATCACTTGAGTCCAGGAGTTTGAGACCAGCCTGGGCAATACCAAAACCCTGTCTCTACTAAAAATACAAAAATTAGCTGGGCATGGTGGCGCATGTCTGTGGTCCCAGCTATTTGGGAGGTTGAGGTGGAAGGATCGTTGGGGTCTGGGAGGTGGAGGTTGCAGTGAGCTGAGATGGCACCACTGCACTCCAGCTTGGGCAACAGAGTGAGACCGTCTCTCTTTCTCAAGAAAATTAAAATAAAAAATAACTTTTCTTCAGTGAAAGGAAGCAGTGTTTTGGCTAGGATGTTAATGAAGATAATTGTTAACTGGGTTGGGAGACCCTTGGACCCTGTGGGGGAGGGCCCTTTAAGCTGCCACTGCCCCACCTCCACAGGTGCCCCTTTGTTCCCCTTCCCTCCTCTCTGGCCTCTGGTTCTCTCGGTCATCCCTCTGTAGTGCTTGTCTTTGTTTGGATAGTGCTCCAGTTGCCTGCCTCTGGGCGGAGTCCTTGCGGTAAAGCACGCTGCTGCCTACTCAGGCCAGCCCAGGAGATCTCCTCTGCAAATTTGGACTGTGTCCTGAGCCCCAGCTGTAGGCCAGGCCTCTGTGACATATTGGGCAGACCACCCACAGCCAGCTGCTGGCACTGCCCGGCCTACATCTGCCCGGAGAACTATGCTATCACCACCCACGACATCTCACTGACAGACCCTGCCTTCGGAGACAAGGACCAACCCAGGAGAGTCTGAGTTGGCTCCACCTCCCTGGACATTGATTTGGATGGCTCGCCAACTCCCAAAGGAGCCAATCTTTCGTCCTGGTTAGCTCTCAACAAAGCCCTGCCCCATTGGTTTGCTGCTGGAGCCTGGAGGACCTGGCAGTCCCAAATCATGACATTCCTTTTCTTCCATGCACCAGTTTTGCACAGCTGTCATTTTTCTTTCAAAATTTTATCAATCCCACCAATGTGCACATTTGGGCAAAAATACTCTGATCAAACAGACAAACAAAGACAGGTCCTCAATCCACCTCCTGAATACCACCTAGAAAGAGCATTTGCATTCTTCTCAGTAAATATCATGCATATTAAAAAAGAAAACAGATTATTTCACTGACAGGCTCACTTGCACCTGTGAGGGAGCCATTGTTACTGCCATTTCATGCTTGGAAAGGCTGAGGATCACAGAGGTTTGCTGATTTGCCTAACCTCGCAGAACTGAGATCACCAAAGCCAGGGCCAGAATAATTATCCAATGTTTGTCCCTCTGCCAAGTGCTGCCCCTTGGACCTGGGACCCTCAGGCCATCAAGGCTGGGGCCCTTTGCTTCTGGAGGGTCCCAAAGGGATAGCATAAGAGTGGTTCCGATTGCATCTGACGTGCTGCTAGGAATCCTCTGTTTTCTTCTCTTTATTCTCCTCCATCTTCCTGTTTCTAAGGCTCTTCCCACTGTCCATTGCTCATAGTCTTCAAGGGGCTCTTTGATTTTCTCTGTAGCAAGGCCATGGAACTTTTAGTTTTCACCGACCCACCCACCCACTCACTTGCCTCTTGAGAGAGCACCAGCTGAAGCACAACTGTGTGTTAGGGAGCTGTGTAAGGAGAAATGGGAGCTGTGGTCTTGCCCCTAATCAACTGTTAAAGAAAAATTATCCTGATATCTGTGAAAAACAGCAACAGATTTTTTATTCAAGACTATTGCAATAAGGGTCAAGATTATTGCAATAGGCCAGAGGATTGAATTCAACCCCAGATACATCAGGGATAGGGGGGATTTACAGCCAAAGAGCAGAGTGGGGGAGTGGATGGAAAACTACTCAGAGGAACTTGATTAGGAGGAGGAACAACAGCTTGATTGGATGTTGAGGGCAGGAGAATCTCAGCAGATGGACTTAACAAGGTTCATTGCTAAAACTGGGCTCAGCAGGCCGAGATCAAGGCCTAAATGAGAAGCGGGTTTAAAGGAGCCTGACTAAAGTTTGGTTAAGGGAGGAGTCTTTGTTGGCACTCACGAAGTCACGTGAGAGTCAGGACCCAAATGCAGGCCCCAAGACGCTAGGAGGCCATGGCGCGCCAGCTACGGGCATGGCTGGAGCTTGGAGAGGAGCCAGTGGGTATGTCTGCGTTATTCCAGCCTGTGGCTCCAGGGCAGACCGGAGGACAGTCACACCGGTTTCATCTCAGGTTTGTTTATTTCTTGCTACTCTGATGTATCATACTTTTCTTCCACTTCATACTTTGAGGCTTGAATTTGCAGGATTTGATTAGCGAGACCTGAAAACCATAAGCAAGACTAAAAAGTGCCAAGGCTTTGTCTAGACCTTGGGCAGGAACGCTGACCTCCTGTTTCTTGTTTGCAGTATTGGGAAAATACTTGTTACAGACTGAATTGTGTGCCCCAAGAATTTATTTACTGATTTAACCTGCAGTGTGACTGTATTTGGAAACAGGGCCTCTAAGAAGGTAACGGTTAAGTGAGGTCACGTAATGTGGGGTCCTAATCTGATAGAACTGGTGTCCTTCCTTATAAGAAGAGGAAGAGATACTAGAGATCTTTTTGTCTGTGCACAGAGGAAGGGCCATGCAAAGACACAGTGAGAAGGCGGCCGTCTGCAAGCTAGTAAGGGAGGTTTTACCAGAAACAGAATTTTCTGGCATGTTGACCTTAGAATTCCTGCCTCCAGAACTGTGAGAAAACAGAAATGTCTGTGGTTTAAGCCCTCCAGTCTGTGGTCTGTGGTGACGGCAGCCTGAGCACACTAGTACAATACCTATTTTGTGGATTTACGGTGAGAACTAAACATAAGGTGAGGACCCAACTGTTATTCACACATGTTGGCCGAGCCCCCTTTCCTCCTGTCATGTGATTTTTGGGGTGTTAAGGGTCTTTTGCCAGCAGACAGCTTCCTTGTGACCACGTGAGGGTGTGGAAAATTCGCTTAGTAGAAGCATTCTTTTGAATTCAGGTGTTGCTTCTCTGGGTTGCAAGTAACAGAGCCTTCATAGATTAGTGTAAACCAAAAGGGGGGTTTTCTGAAAGGATGTTATGCTCAATTAGGGTTCCTGGTTTCACACAGTGTACATGAATTGGCTGGTTTTGGCCAAAAAGGCATTTCTGAAAGGATATCGAATGGGGTAGAGGATTGGCAGGAAGGATGGACGATCAGATTTGGGTCTCCCAGCTGGCAAAAGGGCCAAACATCACACCTTAGAATGGGGCCTGAGGACCGTGAGACCACGGGGCTGGGCGCTGGCTGCTGCTGCTTGCTCCTCTGACCCCGCGAACACTGGCCTGTGCCCACACTGCGTGACTGGACTCTTCTATGACTAAGTCTTCCACACCGATGTCCCCTGTGGTCCCTGTGGTTCTGGAGCTCTGCTATCTCCTTGGCTGAGCCTCGATGACGAGCACTGGCATTTTCAGCACTGAGAGTGGGAGGCGACTCTGCCTCCTGTCAAGATTCATAAGGTGGGGAACTTCCCCAGACAATTAAAAAGCAGGCTCAAAATGCCAGGTGGCCAAAAAGAATACCAAGTTCCCCCACAGATACAGGGAACTCTTAGCCCCCAAATAGGAAGCGCAGCTTCACTCACAGGAGAACTAAGAATTGGAAAGCCGACAGCTGGTTACT